CGGGGCTCTGTGCTGACAGCTCAGAGCCTGGAGCCTGTTTCAGATTCTGTGTCTCCCTCTCTCTCTGCCCCTCCCCCACTTGTGCTCTGTCTCCCTCTGTATCAAAAATAAATAAACGTTAAAAAAAATTACATGAGGTATAACAGCTTTTTTTGGATTTGTTTTAATTACAAAGTAAATGCATGCTCAATGTGCCAATTCAAACAATACAGAAGTAATTAAAGACAAAGTTCATGCTATTTGTTCTTCCTCTTCCATCCTGCCTTTTTCAAATAACCAGTGTTACTGGTTTAATCCGGTCTTTCCCTCCTTTATTATCATCATCTTTTTTGAAAAGGTTTTATCATTGGTTTAAAAGTTGTATCCATTGATAGAGGAATGCTCGATCATTCCATTGAATGACATCTATGAATAACTTAGAATGGCATTGAAGTTATTAACAGTGACTACAGGTAACTACCGAGTAAAATTCTTACATGTGTCTGTCTCTTTTCGTATGTTGGGAAAATGAAATTTTGCCTCTTATGGTTGACAGTGAAAAACTATGCATCACCTAATCTTTTTCCATTAGCCTGTGATTTTATTCCCATTTATGAAAGGAGAGGCTTCTACTTTGGGGCTTTATGGCATTTTGTTCTTCTGAATCCTTCGTAACCAAACAAATAGGAAACAATTAGGAGGGGGCAAATAATAGGAATTAAAACATTTACTCTTGTAATATGCTAACCTGGAAATCACCTTTGACCTAACAGACTCCTGAGGAAAGATCATTTTCAAAAAGAAAATCTCTGCATTTTTTCTCTCAGTAGTTCCAGTACTGATCATGAGAAGAAAAAAAAAAAATCAAAGACTAAAAGGAAAAGATAGAAATGTCATGAATTCTCTTCTTTAGCAAGGTCCAACCACAATCCCTTATTACCCAACAGAAGTCCTCACCAATAGCTTTGCAACCCTCCCAGACCTCCAGCTGAGTCCTTCCCACCCGTCCTGAGGGTGAGTTTCCTGGTTTGGTGTCATGTTGGCCTCTACTTCAGTTTCTGCATCTCTCAGTGTCTTTGTCTCAGATACTGTCCCTCAAGTAGAAGTTTAACACAGTTCAATATAGGCTATTCAGTAAGTGCCATATGCTAAGCACGGTGCATTTGTGGCGTAACTGACCACTTGCTGTAGGAACAGAAGTGCACTTAGAACACTACACAGGAAAAAGTATCATGCGTGAGAGTTAGTTATGTGACCGAGTGTCTGATACTCGTGATCTTCTGTCACAATGCAAAGAAAAGAAGCAACATGGTGCTTAAATCTTACTTCTTATCAGAGAAAAAGAGAAAGGAATAAATATAAACCTAACTTATGAAGTATTTGTTACATTACTTTCCTTGTTCAGAGTGCATCAGATTAGCCTGTTGCCTCCCACTCTCTGCAAATTGTGTCTGAAGGTTCAAAATAAACATAGGGCTCAGTTTGTTAAGAGGAAACAAAATCCCTGCTTCTCTTTATTCCTTCCAAAACATAGTCCTTCAAAGGCATGGATATGCGTGGGATCCCCAGGAATAAACCATGGAGGGAGACTTGTGAATGCCAAATTTAGTAGGTGATTTGCAAAGCATATAGAAAAGCATGGTCATGTTTTTCCACTGAGCTCACCTCCTAAATTTGACCAAACAATATATGAATAACAGGCTGTTTTCAAATCTCATTTATTTCTTTGTTTTGAATATTCTTCCTCCATCTTGTGGGAGGGAGGTAGAATATAAACTTGTGGAAGAAGCAACATGAAAAGTCAAAAGGGAGATTTCTGAAGGATGAATCAATGGACAAGTCTTTACACCCAGATACAGGACAGGTCAGCAGATAAAATGATACACATTTGCCACTCTAATGCCAGTAATATGCACCTTAGCATGAAAAATCATGCCCTTTCTCCTGTATTGCTGATAAAACAAATTCCTAAATGCCAAAAAAAAAAAAAAAAAA